TCTTGATCTGTGCATCACAAACCTACTTGTTACTAAAATTATGTGGGCAATTGCTAGCACTCTCAATCACATCTTCGCAGCAGAGGATGAGCTTCTATCTCTTAACTTAGGATCTTTTGGCTGTCTCCACTGGAATTATCCTCTCAAAATGCTGTAACTAAGTTATTTTCATCACAGAACTGTAAGACTTACAATTGCACTTAGACTCCTTGCACAGATTTAGACGAAGCACTGCATTTTCAGCCTTTTATTGCTTGCAGTAGCCAAACATCAAACTCAAATCCTAGAAGCTTAGGTTTGTCACAGGTGGGCCACAAATGCTGTCTTAACTAGGTTAAAAAATTAGATGATTTGAGCATCTAAACGCTAAGCTGAAATGCTAAGCATTTGTGGAGCAGATTTGGCAAATGAAGGAATTATGATGATTTTAATTGATTGGCATTACTGCGAACAAGCTAAGATGAATCTGCAGCAAAACCAGATGCAAAAGTTGGGAGAAAACAGTGACTGAAGATCACAGTCACCACCTTCAGAAAGCCAATCATCCCCTGCGTTCGGAGCAAGGGCGCAGGGAAGGTTATGGAAGAAATATCATTCACATCTGTGCTGAGAAAAACTTCAAAAGAAAAAAGCCATTGCAAATACGAGTGAAATTTTCTAGAGAAACAGATACACTTTTAGTTGTTGACAGTAATTAACATTCTAACAAACTTGTTCCAGTTTTGGAGACATCAGTGTCTTGTTAAATACGCAGTATGTATGTGGATTAAGTCAAGAGTAAACTGCTGTCTTCATTTTCTGAACTTTTAATAGATCTTGAGGAAGATGGGAAGGAGTCAAAATCCTAAGAAAGGCCACACTGGACACTTGGGAAGTGGGGTTTGGGAGGGAGGGGGCTGTTTCGGTTTGTGGGTTGGGTTGGGGGGGTTGCATTGTTTTGGGTTTGGCTTCTTTGTTTTTCTTAACTAGCAGAAGCAGTATTCTAGCTCCTGGATATTCTTGTTATACTGTGAACAAGGGTCATAAATCGAGATAGTGTATCTCCGAGTGCTTCCTCAGCCACTGGTGTTGTACCCTGCAAAATGACGGACACAAAAAATAACCCAGGGAACACACACATTTAGCATATAAAGTACTGTTAATTAAACATAGCAATGACAGATCATAATAAAGTGATTATGTTACATAGTACACAGATTTTGGTGATTTGCTTCTTAAAACAATGATTAGATCTCTGCTATTTTCCCTCCTCCTTTTTTAGAGAAAGACTCATTTTTTTAAAAAAAATTTGTACTTGTTAAAAAAAATCATCTGGAATTTCCTGCTTTACACATAGGGGAAAAAAAACTCACTGGACCTTTAATAGGTGCATTTTGTACAGGAAAATTAATTACAAACACTTACTTGAATGAGATCTATTGAAATCAGAATACCTTTAACACTCCTCCCTATTTTTAAACTAAGTTACAATACGAAATAAATATAAAATATTTTAAAAATTCAAAACATCTTCCATAGCCGAAGTCTGCAAGATAACTTCCAGTACTGAAAATTTTGAACTCTGTTTAGTCACAGTATGCTTTTTATGCACAGGTTTCTTCACGAAAAGGATCCATTTAGACAAAGTTACAACATTAATCTAAAATTACTTGTAATAAATAACCATTCTTACAAAAGCTTGTAAGGAATTGTTTGTTAAAATGGAGCTGAACAATCCCAAGTGAAGCCAGTATGTTTACACTTACGTAACAGGATCCCGGATGCGCCTGGTTTTTGGATTCAGGCTCGCATCATTTGGGCTGTGCTAGCAAAAGCACCTCTTTGAATACTAAGAGAGAAAGAAGTCAAATTGAATAGTTAAAAAGTGTGCTACCAAATGTTCATCAAAAATGTACTTTTTCAGCGAAGGACACCAAGACATCTTCTGAGCAAAATGACAGAGAATGAAGTTTGAAAAAAGAAAAAAAAAAAACGTCTTTAAAAGCAACCGAATGGACAAGAAACCCTTACACTCACTGACTTCACTCAGAAGCCATAAGAAAATCTACAGAAAGAAGCCAAGGCCCTTTTTTATATTGTTCGGCTTCTACTGCAGGTCTGGGACCTTTATCCGCTATGGCACAAGAGCAAAGTCTGCCTTGTTGGGCATCTGTATTTTTCATAGCAGTCTCTTCAGTTTCCAAGCCAGTGCACATTCTTCTGATGTCAGTGTACTTTAAAAGAAACTGTCCATTGTGAAATGCAGGAGTAGAATCTTACAAATTACACTGAGCCTTAAACATAAGTCTAAAAAAGATTACCAGGCTCTACTTCAACTGTGAATACATCCATCCAAGATGCATCTAGGAAAGCTGCTCATAACTGCTTAAGGCAACGTTTGCACTCCCTCAAAGGGATTATGATATGGCCTCCAAATTTCTTAGACACTGATAAAGGACCTTGTGTGAGGTGGAGTGGTCGGCAGCTGTCGGAACGCCGTTCTGGATCTGGCAAACGCTTGCCCTGCAATTCAGGTCAATGTGAACAGAATGCAAAGGTTGGAAAGCAAGCAGATGCTTGTCAAGGTACCACCAACAGATCACACATCTGGGCTGCAGCATCTTCAGCCATTTTATGTCAGTTTAGCGATAAAGAAATAAAGTTAAAAGACACCGATTACTAGCTAACTCCTTACCTGTAGCCATACGTGCTGCATGGTGGTTTATGAGCACGAGGGTGAAATCTTCCAACCTGTGTTGTCTAGCTATATTAGTTTTAAACTATTTTTTAAACACCCACAGAACTATATTCTTCATTTAAACACCTGGACAAAGTTACTCTTTGGAACAAAAAAATCTAGCTCCAGCATGTAGTATTATAAAATAAAATGGTGTATCAGGAAACTCCTCATCTGAGCTAAAGAATCTTTCTAGGGTTTAACCAAGACTTCAATTCTAATTCCTTGTGATCAGAAGACACGCAAGGTATGACTGTTACTGACCTGCCAGAACCTGCCTATTCTCATTTTCTTTGTCCTCTGTTAGAAGATGGCACCATTTTTTCTTCAAGAAAAGCAGACAAGGTGCTAGTCCTCTCTTACAACTGGAGGCTATAACTAGGTACGCAGATTAGAAGACAACCGACCATCCACCAAGCTGATTCACGCTGAAGTTGACTATTTGGCATCTGAGAATAAAGCAACTGATGAAGCAGAAAAGTTAATACACAATAAACACCTTCCCTAAACTTTCAGGTAACTCACTGAACAGAACAGGCTGGTCTGTCTGAAGTGCAAAAACCAACGCAGAGAATTCTAGAATGTGCCTTCAAGCTAAGAATTCATATTTCTGCCTGTTAGGTTTTCTCTGTTTTCCCGTAACACTCTCTTGGAAATAACAGTGATGATGGACTCATTCTCCCATTAAAGCTTCCACCCAATCTACTGCACTTCCGCTTGAAATCCTTCACACCACTGGGCCAGAATGTTAAAAATATGTTAACACAACCCAAAATCTTACTTCTTGTCTCCTGCAGGTTTTGAATATCTTTCGTATTTACGTATGCAAGGCTGGGCAAAAAAACAAAACTGAAACTCTTTCCTCTCATGGTGGGCACCTGAACCTATATGCAACAATTTTAGGCATAAAATAAAACCTTCTATGAGGACTCAACTCAGAGTCAAGGAGAACATTAGCTATAAGCAGCTTTTACACACAAGTCAAGTTACAGAAATTGACCTTTATTTAGTAATTATTTTCTTTAACCTTTTTTTTTTTTGTTTTGATACAAAGTGACATTTTTATTTTAGTACAGAAAATCCACGTCACAACAGTACCTGTCTGTTTGGGTTGTACCACTGGAGTCTACTCTGACATTAAACTTTAAAAAACAAACAAACAAAAAATGAGATAAACAAAAAACAACTGCTGTCCCTCACCATGAGAAGTACTTTGACTAGTAATTCATCCATACCATTTCCTATTTTTTAATTTATATATATACAGTATTATAATTGTACGGTATAATACTATATATATGTATTATAGTTCAAAATACTCTCTCTATATAGTATACAACTATATAAATACTATATAAAGTATTTTGAACTATAAAATAGCATCTGTAAAACAGACTTTAAATTTAGGACCAGATCTTTCGTTGAAGAACTGTACAAGAAGAATCCCTTTTTTTAATTAAAAAAGCTGCAAACAGAAGCAAAACTACAGCCTGCAGTGTAGACCTAGAAACCCTACATAATGAAATGTTAGGAACAGTGACTAAGAAGCAATTCTACTCCAAACGATATTTTAAAAACAATTAAAATACAGTACCCAGGAAACATGGCACAAGAGACAGAAGAGACAGGTACAAAACCTGTGTGAGGAACACAGAGTCAGAAGTGCAAAACAAAAAGGGAACCGATACAATGGAGCTTGGTACAATAGGTAAATAAGTATTGCAACCAGAACTAAACCATCCCTTTTTTTTTTTTTGGACAGTGAAAACACTAACAATTTAGTACCTTCCTAAAGGGTTTTAATCAAAGCCCTAAAACTGCGGCTGCTCTTAAATAAAAACAATCTATGTGAATGCTACACACTGAAGTACAAAGCTTAAGAATTACCCTGCAAAATTGCACCAACGTAAGCTTTCCATATTTACAGTACCTAAAAGTGACAGAACACAGCATGCTAGGCCTAGCTTATGACTCTTCCCCACCAGTACTTAATCCAGGCCCAACAACCAAAAACTATTATTTCTCAACACACGTTAAGCTTGGATTGTTCAGATATATTATGACGCTTAAATATTAGATTCATGCATACAACGAGAAACGATATCTTTGATGGACAAGCGTTGACGGGATACAAACAGTGGTCTGCCCTGTAGAGGAGCGTGCTTCCTTCTGAGCATACTCCCAAGACGTACCGATTCAGTCCCACGTTATTACCTGGTTGTCAAGTCAGCAACGTGCTTAGAAATGGTCAAAATTGCAACCGAGAGTCACATTGCGCATAAACCATTCGCTCATATTCAGAAATTTCACTCCGTTTTGCAGAGTTACCTCATGAAGTGAAAGGACACAGAGTTAAAAAAAAAACAAAACGAAACAAGAAGCCAAAGGAACCACATTCAAGTAAACAGCAACAACCAAATACTTTGAAAAGGTTTTTGTAAACTTGTCATTCTACCGGGTTTTGCAGCATTGTTCAATTCATTACTCATGGACAAGCACACGCAGGTGGCAAACCCTTGTGACAACCTGTCCCGTGTACACGTACGACGTTGAGACAAGCTCGGTGTAGTGATCTACCCCTTCCCCCGTGCCTCGTCGGGTCTGAGCAGGGTCAGTGTTCTCATTCCCCTTCACGAAACATGAATCACTTACGGATATCTTTATAAAGACAGAAATGGACAGAGTCCGTTGGATAGAACGTTAGTTGGTTATTTACATCTGCAAAGTAGTTTCACAGCCGAAAAAAAGTCTACAGCGGGCCAGCTGGGATCCACAGGACTTTGTTTTGTTCTTGATTGACAGTTGTCATAATCTGAGTGCAAATGCTTGAAAGGGCTCCTCCCTGGACAATGCCTGGAGAAAAAGAAACCCGCCCCACGAATGAGACTGGAACAAACAGCTATGACTAATTACATAGAGCAGTCTTCTGCATTTTTCTGCAAAGTGTTTATAGACAGATCAGAAGTAATCTACCCAATTCAGTATTTGCCAGATGCGTGACACTTCAAACAAGAATAAGAATAAACAGAGCAAAGAGGCCAAATATTCAATAACCAGTTTCTTCTGCCAGCTTGTAAAACACCCAGGGAAGTCGCCGAACTGATGGCTATAATCAACTAAGACAGCTGTTTTATTAGAGTCCTTCATGTACTATTTTCAGAGGCATCAGGTGGCAAAGTTTAAGTCTAAAGATGGTCAGAAGCTGCTGTAATAAACCTTCCCTGTTCAGCACGGGGTGTGAAGAGTTTTGTATTTACGTGGTAATATACATAGAGACTATAGCTGTAGCAACTAGACACTATTTACAAATCTTAGAAGCAAATTATGAGGCAGCTCACAGATCGCTGAGCTAAATAAAACAGTGGCGTTTGCTACTCCAATTCGTATTGTCAGCTACGTCCAAGGAACAAAAGGCCAACAGCGAGCAACTCCCTGAAAATCAATTCAAAAGATAAATGAACACCTTGCATTCTGCCCTTGCTAAACATAACAGTCAGAAAAAGTAAAATGCTAACACTGACAAAGGAGAGGAGAATGTATTAGCTTTAAGACTTAGAAAGCGAGGAACTTCACGAATTGAGAAATACGTCAACAAAGCCTCCGGCCTCAGCTAACGCTGGAAAAATATGGAAAGTCTTATAAGGCTTAAGGTACAATTTCCATTTTTTAAAAGAAAGAATTTGAGCTCACGTAAGTAACTACTTGACCCTGCAGCAGCTACTACAGTTAACGGTGTCAGGTGAGTTTGGCTACAGAACGCAGTGACCAACAGGCTCCACAAAAGCTGACAAATGGCAGTGAGAAAGTGATTCAGGTTACACATTGTGCCTACCATTTGGTACAGGAAACCAAGCCAACTTGAGAGAGTCCTTAGTCAAAAAAATGTACTTCATTAAGTAGTCACAGAGCTCAGGTCTGATAGAGCATGTCATATATCTTCATGAAGAGGCTACCACGTCCACCACATCTATCTACAGGCTTATTTTATGCGTAACACTACAATTTCAACAAGGTTAAATGTCAATGGAGTTTGAACACCAGTCCTCTCTGACCACTAGCACCTGGAAATGTTGATGACAGACGGAGCTCACCGGCCTTGGCACAACCAGAGGGAGACCCTTCCCCACAGGACATGTGAGCAGCTATGTGCAGGATCCTCTTGGACCGAGCACTACTTTCAGGGTGAAATTAATACGCAACAAATGACTTAACAAGGAGCAGAAGATAACGTGGTGATGCGATCCAGCCGGGCACATTTCCAGCTCTGTGAAGGTTTAGTACGTATCGTTTCAATGAACATTTGTGTGGCTGTTACACACCAGGTAACTGACTTTGTTGAGACCGTGCAGCTTCCCTCAAGAAGCGCTGAGCTAGCTCTACACCAAATACATGCCCCTGCCCTTGGCAGGTACACCTCAAACAGTGCTGCAAGAATGTCATTGCTCGGGGGATGAAAAGTTGGGTTTGGGCTGGTTTAGTGGCGTTTGGGGTTTTTTTTTGATTTGTTTTTTTTTTTTATTTTGTAAGTTTTGTTGCCATTCACAACCAGATGGCTAGAATTTTATCCCTGGTCTTTTGAATGTACGTGGAACCACACGGAAACACACTCTGAAATAAGCAAAGACAGTCTTCAAACACAGTTTTCTTTCTCTGGTAAAAATACAGTATTAACTATAATCCAAGATTCACACAATATACTTTATGACACTAAAAAGGCCTCTGAAGTTGAATTTAATTATTCCATATTACAATGCATACTCAAGAAAACTTTGATAGTTTTTTTTCTTCTCTTGAAAGATTTAAACTGTGTCTCACAAATCATTTAATTTACACTACAGGGGTTTTTTGTTTGTTTGTTTTTTTTTTTTACATCTGCAAAACAAATTATATTCCTTAAATGGTATAAAACTGACAACACTGTGTCAAATTATCTTCATCATACTCTTGGCTTGTAATAAAACATGCTCAGAATCTCTTTAGATCACAAGATTCATAGCATGCTAAGATAAAAACATTTAAAAGCAAAGAATAATACTTCTATATTGAGATTTCCTTTGCTGATAAAACTCCAGAGCATGAGTTTGCCAAAAGGGATGGTAGACGGAAAAAACACAAAGTCCTCTTTGAAGGAACACAGAATCTTTTAAATTACTGTGTAAATGGATTAAATTGTCACTGTGTTCCTAGTGAAATGTTGATTAAATACTAACCTGTAAAGTACTTGCTATACTCTTGTTCTATTTTTTGAGCTGTCTCAAACTGTTCTTTGGAATGTTTTTGTGTAACTTTGTCCCTTAGGAAGATTGGGTCTTTTTGCTCTCTGCAAAAAAAGAAAGAAAAAAAGAAAAACCTTGTGTAAGAGTAATGTTATTGCTTTTTTTAATGGACTTGAAACGATTACCTGCAGTCGGGGGAACACGAAAGGCTAACTGATTTGCAGGCATCACCCTGGGCATGCAGTGCCATCTACTGAGCTTCAGCAGTACCAGCACAGTCATGAGGACCATTTCAGTGCTAACAACTCTTCTATCAGATCAAGACAGCATTCCTTGAAAGTCTCAGAGACCGGGAGGGAGGTGAGGGAGAAGGAATATAATATTTTCCAGTTCATGCGAATTGGATCATCATGTTACATACATTCCCGTACTCCCTACACCAAGCTAGGCTCAAGTACCGCTCCTGTAAAGGGCGTGAAGTGTCAAGCATTGAGCAAATAGAGCACTTCTATGTCATCTTATATATGACATATTTTTGAGATGACTGTTCTTCTACTAGACACGCTGTTGGAAATAAAATTAGAAAAAAATATAGAGAAATACAAGTAGCAAAAAAAGTATTTTAATTCCAATCAAGGGTTGTAACCCTCTCCTCAATTCTGACTTCCGGTCCCCAGTAGGGAATTCTGCTTAAAAGGAAGCAGAATTTACAATCAACTGGTGTGGTCACAAAGACGGGTACTGAAACAATATAAGCATAGTTTCTTCTAGCAGTGAGAAAAGCAGCACAATTTTATCTTAGAAGTGAAAAGCATCACTACTAAACTAACATATCACTGCTGTGTAGCATTTCAGAGAATGCCAACAGAACCTGTGCTATATCAAAAAGGCTCTTTGGAAAAACTTTGGTGCTCGTAACAGACTGAGTCAATGTGCCACTGCGCCTTGTTTTGATGACTGCTAGAAAGCCTTGTTTGTCTAGTTCAATCGCTCTCTGTCACTTTCCGAGAGAAGGAAATAGCATTAATGGTCACCATTCCACTTCCAAAGGGGCTCCAGACATGACAGTTCCATTTATCATTCAAGTGCATGATCCTACAGTGGTAATGAAATACACCGCATTGCTCTATGTCTTGCTTCTACTTGACAGCGGTGATATTTATCTTCTTTATTAAATAGATAGTCATCAAATTTATCTACAGATCAAGACTTGAAGAAGTTTTCAACTTTCAAAACAAAGACAGCACAAGTATAGAATCTCTCAACAAAACTGTTTCTTAATAGTTGCGTTGGGAGATAATGTTTCTTCTTGCCAAATCAATCTATCAAAATGCATGAAGGCTTACTCAAACATGAGGAGAGGGACCAGGGTTTGTAACTCCCACCTTCTGTTCCTGGCTATATTTGAGCAGGAAATTCCCAATTACTGAAAGTGCATGGCCCAAGCAGTCCACAGCATACACGTTTCATGGCAAAAAAGGGACTTCCCTTGCTGTTCTCACTGGAGCACAAAGGAGGGAAAGCTGAGGCTATGAATCAATTGGCACTTCACCGAGACACTTGGCCCCACTTAGAAGATGAAGAATAGCTCTTTATCACAGTCACCACTTAATCCTCAATGGATCTCACCCTTATCTGTCTTAAGGTTTAATACAAAGGCCAGCAGGAGAGATCTGAGGGTCTCCTGGAGTAGATACAGTTTAGCCTATATTGTCTGATTTCTTTGAAAGCTTCATATCATTGTCATGCAACCAAAATGAAGTTAGGACCATTTACCTCACAGCTCTCTTTACGAGGACTAATTTCCACACTTTAAAGAGATTTAAGATGATCAGGATGAAAGAAACAATACAGGTAACAAGCTTATTTTAAGTCAAAATAAACATCCCTGAACTATACCCCTCACAGACTTACTTGATTTGTTTAGCATTTTTGTAGCGAATAAAAATTACAATAGGGTAGATATGAACACTGTGGAGCCGTTCGATGGCATGAGGAGCGATGTCAAGCAGACAATGACAATCCTAAGATCAAACGTAAATGCAAAACACTCATTCAGTTAAAGAGCACAAGCACACATGCAAATCCCCCATTTCTTCCCCTACTGAAATCATAGCAACCCAACAGAATTTTGCTACACATACAGCATTTTGGGGCTACTGTGCAATTTGTACCCAAAGGATTTATAACAAACGACAGAAGAAGATGAAAAACTACAAGAAATTCCATCCATAGTACCAAAAGCATGCACTGATAGAAATAAAAGTATTTGAAAAACTAATGAAATGAAAACTCAGATTGAAATATATGCTATGTATTTTTTCCCAAATTCAAATATTCACATTCATTTTCTCTTTCAGAAGTCATAAGCAAACACAAGTGTTAAAGTAGTAAGACTTCCTGGGTGGTTTGACAGAAAGCTATAAGCAACATACAGATTTTAATTAATGTCTGTCTCCAGGATTAATACAAGTTTACGTTCGATATGACTGCATTAAAGGGAATAGTTCAGAAACCTAAATCCCCGTTTGGGGGGGGATAGGTGGTGGAATCTATGGAATCTGAGAAAATAATTTCTAACTTTACATAATAATACTGTAAAACAATACAGACATTCCTAGTTTCTACAAAGGTGAGCTTACATAAAATCATCTTTGAACAGTTACGTGCCAAAGGGAGGTAACTTTTCTCTTACTCAGCGGCCTGCGGAACAGTTCCCTGAACGCCCTAAAGGAGAGCAAGGCTAACACAATTTCCAGCCCCCCAACACAGTACGTCCCTTTATTGCAAATTGTACCAAGAGCTACAGCACTAAAAGGGACTCACCTTTTCCGTTATCTCTTTTATTGAAGCTACAGTTGTCACATCGAAATGTCCGCTCCTCCGTTTATAATCAATAAACAGACAATCCTTCACACCCCGTTCAATGGCTTGCTGGGAAGCTTTCATGACCTCTGTTTCACAGAACCAGAAGAGATCCACTTGCGTTACTACTCCAAGGCTAGCACAACAATGTCTGCAAATTCAGATTCTTCAGGTTTTTCCCATGTTTGTGCTACCATTGAGTTCACTTATATAGATGTTACTATCAAGTACTCTCATGAAAAATAAATTGGTTATATCTGCATCCTTACCAAGAGGACATCTGCAAAACTTCCCAGGGGATTCTTTGACCAACATGTCTTTCACAGCATCAAGTAAAGGTCCCAGAATAAGCACAGGCCTAGGAGAGGTACAGTTCACTTTCTGTACACGCTGATAAGCCAGACTTGAAGAATCTGCACACAGAAAAGATTTACTTATAAAAGTGTAAATTATTTTCGTGGCATTCCTCAGACAAGCAGAAGCACCTTAACAGTAATCATGCAAACAACTCCCTTGCAAGGGGTAAGGGCATTGACAAGTACAAGAAAAGCTCACTAGCCATTATTGCAATTTTCTCCACTTGATAGCTTGAAACAGACATTTTGCTTATTGAACCTGGTGCTTCTCCCTTCCCCACTCAAATTGTAAAACAAATCATTCCTATTTTTTCCTAAAAGCATAAACAGGACACAGTATTTGGTTTCTGTGGTTTGTTGAGCTCTTCCAAGGAAGTAAGCATTGTAACCAGCGTGACTTTTGTAGAGGAGGGAAGAAATAGAAGTGAAGATTTTTGAGTGGTGCCCAGGATTTCTGTCTAGACTAAGCAACGTGGACAGTAATTACATAGTTGAAAGGAAGATCAAAATCATGCATCAAAAAGTATTCTCCCTGCAAATGAAACATCAATGCCAATAAATATAGGAATAAACTACAAAAAAAAAAAAAAAGAAACTAAACACTCTGGCCTGTTACTTAACACAAAAAAATTGGTTATTAAAAGTAATGTACGTGATGGGACATACGCTCACCATTGATTCAGTCCGATCAGAAACCAACATTGTTTGTTAAGTGTCGTGCTGCAGCCATTGAAAAATGAAAGAGAAGGAAAGGCAACCCCCTCTCAAGTATAACAAAGGTACTTGCCATCCAAGAAAGGAATTGAGTCTGTACTGATTGTATCGAGAGCCAGCAAATCCTTTCCATCTTTGGAACCACTTCGCTTGTGTTTATGCTTTCTTCTGAAGAATGACCTCCGTGCTGCTGCTGACAATGTCTTAGATGAGCTGTTTTCATCTTTAGCCTCAGACATGCTGTGTCTCCTGTAGAATTCCTGATCCATCCTATAATGAAACAGATGAACCGGTTGGCATTTAAACTTATCTTTTTAAACAATATCACCGCTGCTTCTGGAACACACTGGAAATGCTCATCTCAAGCCTTAGCCCAAGTATCTTCATCACAGAAAATTAATCTGAAACAAATGTTAACATAAATCAAATACTAAGCATCTGAAAACCTCGCACGACCATCATTTCACCAGGATTCTTACAATCTAAACAGCAGCACGGCACACGGTACGACCACTCTGACGGGCAGGCGAATATTCTCCAAGGCAGAAGCAGCTGTACGCAGCCACTTGCCAGTAAAGTCAGCCTCGCACAGAAGTGAAGATCCCATTCTTTCTATGAAGCTGCATGTTACACTCAGCCTTACAAATAATTTCTTAGCAATCCTAAATAACAGTTTTATTTTATATGAGCACAAATATTTTGGCCACATAACACATGTAAAATGTAGTTGGTTTTACTATCCATCCACAGCAACAAGCCTCTCAATGATGCTTAGGGTCTGTGTATATATTGTACGTCCACACATTCCACGTAGTACCATTGCTCCCAGTGTCAGGATGAATTTTGAGTTATGACATGGTGAAAAGACTACTAGAAGCAAAGCAAACCACAAAACCGGTTGTCTTCAAGCAAAAAAAGTATTTTAATCACTGAGTGAAAACTGATGTGATTTCAATAGCATTATAAAAATTTCAGTTCCTGCATGTTCCTCTGAATTGCTCTAACAACAAGATCGTGGCAGATACACAATCTTATAACAACATTGTTGTCCACAGGTAAGTAAAAACACTGATGCTTTCCAAGAACAACTGCAATAACCTTGGATTCAAGGATATTTTGGCTGTGGTTACTCTCAGTTTTGTTACTGAATTACCTATCACAACACTGGCCTATGCATCAGCACCATTTCTAGTTTACTATTCAGTAGCACTAGGAACAACTCGGTAGAGCAATATATTTAGTTCAACGTTATTAAAATATGCCATCCCTAAAATGACACGTCTAAGAATTAGTATCTCCCAGAAGGAATAAAAGCAAACAAGTCTATCACATCTCACTAGTCAGACTTTCAAAGACTGTAAGATAAATACTGTAACTGAGGTCACTCACATGTATTTACTTGGAATCTGTCCTCTTTCCAGCTTCTGAGCATTCTCGTCTAGCTGCCAAGCCATCCAGCAACCGAAGTTTCCCTGTGGTAGAGTGTCATCAACATACAAAATGTCATCCTTCTTAAAGCTTAAATCCTGTTCCACCTCTGCCATACGGTCGTAAAGTGCTCTGGAAAGGAAGACATAAACAGGCTCGGCAACTGATCTCCATCAACTCAAGGGAAGAACACGCATACTTCTTCTGAAAAAAGTTAACAGATTACTGGTGCACACTCCATTTCAAGAGCACACCGTTTACAGCGAAACGTGCAGACTTACTGTATTACAGACTGCATACTCACTGTCAGAGACTAGCTGGGATAAATTAGTAAACTTCGAATTTAAAAAATGGGGTAAAACTGATGTACTATCTCTCTCATGATGGTCAGCACATTATCCTAACAGCCTCACGCTGTCATTACCAGCAACGCTCAAATACCTGATATAGAATCCATCTCCAGGAAGCTCTTTTATCTTATTAAACTCTTCTATTCTGTATTGAGTCTTTATTTTGATGTTTTCACCAGGCTTCAACATTTCAAGATAAGCTTCCTCAGCTGTTTTATTTCGCATATCAATAGATCCATACTGCAAAACACAAAAACACAAGAAACCCTTAGGTGAGAAACTGTATCTTAACAGGCATTAGCAGTAGGTGAGCTTGAAAAAGAGGCAAAAGGAGTTTGTTTTCCCCGCTGGCAGGCTCTATAGACAAGTAAATCTTGCCACTGAACTCTAGTACAGTTTGCACCTTAAGATGTCTAGCAGGAGACGGAGACTTAGGGGTGGAAAACAAAATACCCCAGTGAACAAAGCAAACACACACCACGAGAGACAGTCTGTGTTTCTTCAAATAGGTCTCAAAATATAAGCTAAGAATCATAAAATTCACACTGGAAAAAATTTAGTATTTTTCAGGAAAGCAAGTCTGGGGGAAGTCAGAAACACCATTATAAAGCAAAATCTCTGTCTGGATACTAGAGGCGCAATGGGAGAGTCTCAGTGCTAGGACGTCTCAATGCTTAGTTGTATCTGAAAGGATCATAAACGCATATGTGTTTATCACCTTAACAGTCCCGTCAAGTAGATAAATACTCTTGTCTCAGACATAGAAAGTAGAGTCAAAGACATATTGCATCATTTTCCCTAAATTCTCGTTAGAATTTCATAGTGATAATATCAATATTCTCTGTTTTGCAGTATCTTGCATATCCTTGCCTTACTCCTATGTACAACAACTGGATTCAAGGCTTCCTATTTAGACAAAGAGAGCTGGTGTCCTTAATTCCAAGTGGACATACATCAGTCCTTCAATCTTGTGGGCAACTTTGCTCGCAGCAGCGCTAGTTCTCCAGGTCCACATCATCCAGCTCTTCATGTGTCACAGCCAGAACGAAGGTTATCACAGAATCACAGAATGTTCGGGCTTGGAAGGGACCTCTGTGGGTCATCTAGTCCAACCCCTCTGCCGAAGCAGGGTCACCCACAGCAGGCCGCACAGGACCGCGTCCAGGCGGGTCTTGAATATCTCCAGAGAAGGAGACTCCACGACCTCCCTGGGCAGCCTGGGCCAGGGCTCCGTTACCCTCAGAGGGAAGAAGTTCTTCCTCATGTTCAGCTGGAACTTCCTCTGCTTCAGTTTGTGCCTGTTGCCCCTTGTCCTGTCACTGGGCACCACTGAAAAGAGTCTGGCCCCGTCCTCCTGACACCCACCCTGCAGATATTTATAAGCATTTATGTATTTATACGACTGCCCCCTTTACACCACCATTACACATCAGGATACCGACATTTTGTTGGTATACTGCAGACTTTCCTTAATAGCTTACCTCAAGTATCTTGTCACCCAAGACAAGTCCATCAGGTCCTTTTGCTGGGCTATCATCATCTACATCTGAGACAAATATTCCATACAGGTTTCCACCACATATCTGGATCCCAAGATCCACTTGGGATTTTTTAACAACAACAATTCTAGGTTCAGGTGTCCTTTTGTTTGTGTCCACAGGGCCCCTTTTGATAGGGAGAAATAACACACGCACTTCAGTTTAAAAGCTTGCATTATATATAATCAACTAGCCCTCTGAAAAATATATATTTATATAATTATTATTCAAAATAGGTCACCTACAGGTACAGTCTTATAAGAAAAACATCATGTTCCTTGCAGACCTTCTTAACTAAACCAATCTTATAGCAAACTTTCTTCACACCTTGCAGACCCCGTCTTTCAAAAACAGTCTGAAAACATGTACTTTTATTCTGGCATCCACTTAACGTGTCTGCTTACTTATTTCAACCAGACTCAGTTTTCACAGACGTGCACTTTGATTTTTAACATCCTTCATGTCCACCCTGAGCATTTTTTTTTCTTAAGGCCAAAATTTTATTCTCTACCTTAAGGAATTCCGGGGGCTTGTAGTTGGCGTGGTTTGTTTGGATGGGGGTGTCATTGTTCCTTCGTCCTGTTCACTCACAGTGTCTATTACGGAATGATTGTCAGGCGTTGCAGCTCCGCTGCCTTGAGGGGTGGAATGATTACTCACAGGTTCTAGGCGAGAACTAAAGGGGGGTGGTGGAGGAGAATAAAAGACCAGTGGTTAGTTTTTCACCAATACCAAATATTTTGCATGCAGACAGTTTTTAATTTGGCCATAAATCATGTATAAAGTAAGGAGAAAAAAAAATCCCAAAACCGGATGCCAAATAACATATGTTCCCCATAAGTCTAAGAGAAAGATAAAGCTCAGTTTTGAAGTGTGATCGTGCATCGAAACTCCAACTATAAAAAAATTTGAAACTGATTTGAAGTCCTAGAATCCCTTAATCCTAGGAAGAAGTCATCTTTGGCTTTAGTTTAATGTATCTGAAGACTATGTTCAAATAAGAAAGAAAATATAGTAGACGCATTGAGTATTTTTCTTTCCTTTTGACAAACATGTATTCACACATTACTTTTCTAAGCAACCACATTTCTTACTGGCACAAATGTGCCGATGTTTGCCAACACATTACCTGTACAGAAGTCACCTGCTAGCCAGGTAACTGCATAGACCAGAAAGTTTTTATTTTTTTCAAACTCTAGCTAGCCTTACCTTGATCGTGAATGACTGCCAAGCTGATACATATGTGGGTTATACTGAGCCAGAATAGTAATGGTGTCACACTGCTGTCCAATGATCAGACGAGCCTGTTGCTCTGTAGCATTTCTCAAATTTATTCCATTAAACTAGAGGGGGGGGGGAACACAAAATAAGATGTCAAGTTCTCAAATGGGAACTCGCAAAATGATTCTTTCAGTCTCCTAATTATTTCAATGTCTAAATGCTGACTTATTTCCACTGGGGTAAAGAGAAGGCTGGAAGTGCTCCTATGCAATGATTCCTAGGGTTTACTCCTTGGAAGGAATCACTGTGATTATAAAATATTTGGTAGCCTGACCATAAGTTTAAAGATCTTTTAACTATTGAAAGACTTCTGTATTCTTAGCTGTGTTATGATTTGATACCATGGATTAAATACAAGTTGGTTCAGGTCACGAATCTGAATAAATTCAGGATTTAAAGACAAATTTGGATCCGTGATCCATTCAGGTCCATTGCAGTATTATCCACACACTGTGCAACAGAAGATGCTTTAACACACACAAGTATGAACAGATCTAGCATTTACAAAGCAGCTCCGTACTTTACAAAATGCTCCTCCGCATGTTTATTTAATACTGTAGGCAAACACATGACTGTAGCTAATCTAAAGCCTACCTGAGTATTTTTTAAAGCAGGTATCTCGGGGTAAGGATATGACACAGCAACAGCAGCATGAAACTTGGTACAAGCCAGCTGCTTCAATATTTACTCACCTTATCAGTCAGAGCGTGGTGTTGGGACTATTTTTTTTAAGTACTGAAACTAGCTGGTTTAAAATCGAATTGTATCTACACAAGATGCAATGCAGAGCTACCATCAAAAGCCATTATTTTACAAAAAAAGCCACAACAATCACAATTACTGGAATCACAATACTGGATTACTGGAATATTACAATAGAGCACACACGCTGTGAGAAATAAGGATATTTTTATATCTTTATATCCACACAAAAGATATTCTTTTGGGAAAGGCAGTTATGCCTGCAGTCACACAAAGTGATTCATTAAGCCATAGGAACAGTAAGCAAACAATTACCTCTAGTAACTGATCACCATATTCAAGGCCAGCTTGATGGGCAATGCTCCCACCTGTTACTTTAGAGACAAATATTCCACCATTTTCTCCGCTCACAATGGAAATCCCTAGTGGCTCAGAACCCTTCTGCACCTTAACATGACGTGGCTCTTCCATGTAGGGCCTTTTAGAGGAGATAATTAAAACTGATTTGGACAAAATTGCACTTAAACCATCACAACGTCAAAGTTACATGCAACACTTTATGGCTGTCTGAATTGTAGTCATAAAATAGGTTTAAAGATTACCTTAAAAAAATTACTGTCAACTGTCTAAAATGCATTCCTTTAACACCATGCAACGTACAGTGGCAGAAGTAAATTTATACCGGGTACGCGAGTGTTCTAAAACTTTATGGCAAATATGAATTATAAATAGCATGGTGGTGAAATTGGTAGGAAAGAAGCTTCTAAATGCATTTTTTATAAAAGTAATGGAACCACTGTATATAATATGTAATTTACAAACCATATTCCAGAAAGGTATGTTACAAACACAAATGCTGGGAGTCTTCATTGCCAGTGAACATAAACATCATAAATGATAAGGTGGTAAACCAAAGAACAGCAATGCACAAATGCCCGATTTCATATTTGTATGCAGAGAAACATAAATTAGTAACAAAAACGAAGCAGTTGCAAACTCAAGCCATTAAGACAGCAGTTTGCATGGTAGCTTTACAATTACCATGCAAATTCTCCTCAGGGCAAATATCCAAACACGTAAAATAGCACAAAGTGCGCAATACTGCTCGAGAAGGACAACCTTATGTCAGGCCAACCTCAAACTCCTTAGTGATGAGAACCTAGGCCTAGGAGCCACACGGATTCTCAGAAAAGACCTATTACGGAACAGATATCTGAAAGATGTAGAAGATTTGAGAAGAAAAGAACACTTAGAAAGAGACACGCAGTAGTAAGACACTAGTAAGTATAACAAGAGCATGGCTTACACAAGAGAACAGCCTGACATGTTCCCCTTTCCTCCCCCCATAGCTGGGGCCTGTCCAAGGGCTGGTCCCTTCATGATGTGTAGAAACAAACAGGAGCCTCCTAAAAAGCGTTGTTTCATGCTACGATCGACTTCACGTCTACACAGCAAAAGGCATCACCAGATATTAACAGTTGAGCTCGTCCTGAATGAAAGAGCTTGGGTACCAGGTGTGGTGTATTTTTTATTTTCATAGCGTTATACTACTTTTGACAAGCATTGAGTTGAACATATTCTTTCCTAATACTTCATTATATCGTATAGACGTTCTCTAAATTATGCCAACTGTTTAAACTATTTAAATCATGCTGTGCAGGGACCAGATGCATAAACTGGACTTCACTCACCGCTACTTCTGTGAGCAAGACTGAGGAAAGGTGTTTTTGGAAAGAGTAGGATTTGGGGCTGGGGGTGGAGGGAAGAGGACATCATTTCATAAATTATGCTTATTGCCACAGCCTTTGAAGGTAACTATTTAGTAGCCTTCTGCAGTAGGGGCATAATAGTTTGGCATCTTTTTAATACATGAAAGATAAAAGCTGGCTTACAATACGAATGCAACTCTGGAACCCCATAATCTTCTAACAATGACACCACTGTTAGAGGTAATGCCCTCAGAGCCTGTCCATTGACGTAATGAAGATAAAGCAGGTTTATTACCAGCAAACTTCAACTGAAGCCCACATTTTTCATATGTAGCATATCTTAACGAAACTGTATTAACTCCCATAAAACTGCAATTTATGAACTTTTTTTAATTTACTCCTTAAGAGCATGTAAACCATGATGTTGTATGAAGCTTCTTAATATCACAAAATTTATCAAGGCATACTATCTCATTAAGAATTAAAATTACAACTTTCAGATCTTTAGTTATTGTACCTTTCTGCTGTTCCATCTACCACATGCATTTTTAAATTTGTTTTGTTTGTTTGCTGTGGATTGGAGTAAGAAAGCATCAAACCCATACAAGTTGCACAGGATCTTATCTTAGAACTCTAGTAAATACGAAATGAAAGATAACTAGTAATGCATGTAGTAGAGAATCAACAATAAAACAGATTGGTAACATTAAAAAGGTGTCTTACTTAATAATCAGTGTTATTAAAATCAAGTGAAGCACATTCTTCTAGAACATTATGACTGCCTGCCAGAATCACTGAACACCGATTAGAAAAATTCTCAATTGATCAGATCTTTTAATATTCATTTAAATTAAAATCAACAGAATGAACAGAAACACTGGGTTTTGGGGTTTTTTTTTATCTGTACTATTATTATTTTTTTCTGGGGAAAGGCCAAGCAAGTTACGTGTATTTTGTGGGGAACACAAAGAATTATAAGACCAAATAACCATTTAAAATGCTACCTAGGCATCTTCAAACATTTTCTTAGGATAGGCTTAAATTAGCTAGTTTCCTAGATTAAAATCTGTTGTTTAGTTTTTTGTTTTGCTTTGAAGAAAAAGCAACAACAAAAAAACCCAAACAAACTTAGAATTATTTTCTTTTTAGAAAGTCAATTCAGACCAGGGTTTCTACATGTGCATAGCAAGCGTGAAGGGGCTGGAACCTGACCATACTTTGATCCTCTGATCAACATGAACAGAAATGGTTATTTCCCAGAGATCAGAACACGTATCTGGTGCTCAGAGATACCAAGTTATAGGGGTGTCAAAACCCTAGCTTTTTCAGGTAAAGATTATACACCATTAGTCACGTGAAAGAGAGGAATTTTGACTTTGAATTTGCAAGTGACAATTAGAGGAACATTTATATGAGGACACAAATTGAGTACATGTAGTGCAAAAGTCACACTGAAGTAAGAAAGAATGAAAATTCACAAAGACCTCTTTACATTCCCTTTCAAAGTGACACTGTCCTTTGTACACCATACACAATCTAGAGTTACTACAATAACTTAGTTACTGATTCTTTAAATGAGACAAAGTTTCATATAACATTTATGAATTAACTTTTTATTACTACCAGAAAACTCAGAATACAGAATATCCTTCATACTTTATCATTCACATTTTTTCTGGTCAGTCCTTTTACATAAATCAAGCAATACAAAGGGGTCTTGAAGTCCACGTAACTGTAATCTGTTCCAACACAACATAGCGCCTTTACATTGCCAGAATGGCATTTGGCTGCCTCACTGTAAATAAAAGCCTGATTCAGATTTGTGTCTTACTGTTCAATGCTTTGAATTCATGCAAACTTTTTCATATATTCAGTCTAGCCAGATCATGATAAAACAAAATCAGATGTCTGAGATTGATAGCATAAGCGACGTATCTTGAAAATATTCATCATGAGATATAGGAAGCCGTTAAAACACAAAGCTCTTGCTTTTAAGAAAGCTATCATATGAGGTTCAAATTCTGCACACAGCTACACAGACACTTAACGCTACGGGTAGCAGTGGTCCAGGCACAGCCAAAGGGATCAGTCACGCTGCACAGTTACGCCCTCAGTTTTTCACGTTATGTGGCAAAACTGAATCAAGGCACAGCGGTCAGAGCACATAATCTACAACACTGAGGCACCTGATACCTAGCTATCAGATGTTACTAGGTCTTAATTTTATTTAGTATTCCAGAGTACAGAACAAGCCTATCATAAACAGGCATCTGAGGCAGCTCAGCTCAAGGGGTCTCTTCCAATTTAAACCGTTCTTATTTGCTGTGGCCATTACTCTAACATGGAAGATATAAAACCCTTATGAAATTCCTTAATCTTTTAAACTCATGAATCTACTCTTCGGTTTTGAAGAAAAACTCCACACAAAGACCTCTAAAATACTTTGCAAAGAAAATAAAAATGTCAAGTAACGGAACCTGAGATGCACCTCTGCGCCTACATATCTGTCATTTAAATTAAATGTTCACATTCCTTCAGCCCAATAAACAAGTGCACAAAACATCCTCAGACACATTCGTATTAAAAGCAAATAACGTGGGGACCTTACCTATCTTTTCTACGTTCTCCAATAGACACTGGGCTAATGGAAATCCTAGGTAATGTAGAAAGGGAGTTCTGAGACTGGCTGCTGGCGAAGGAAGACGTTTCCAAGTTCAGAGGCGACTGCGGAGGAGTTATCAAGCTGGGACTGCTACATTCAGAGTGTGACAAGGAGCCTGCGGGAAATCAACAGCTCAGTTTTAGTATCCCGCGTCTGTCACGGTTTGGAGACGTACAGAGACATAGCGAAAGACACCCGCATCCGAAAGAAGAAAGAGGAGCGACTGTCCACTAGCACTCTTAACCGCGTGCGGAGCTTAGGGAAACCAAGTAACTAATTTCAGACACTGTAAACTCACTGTCCTTAATGACTGTAAGTCAGATCTGTCCGCTGTAAGTGTGCGTACAGCTATTGCCATTCTCAACAAGAAGAGAAGGTTACAGACAAGCTACACCATATGCACATCTGAAAATGCTTAGCAATGCAAAGTTCAAGAAAAATAATAAAAAAAACAAAAGGGTTTTTGTAATAAAAATAATAAAAAACACAAAAAATAAAAATCTAATATGTAGGTTTATTTTCAGATGCAATATTTATGTACAGCCCTTTCCTTTGGGTATGAGGTACATTATGAAACACCTGAAAACACCAACAAGAGTCCAGTATGAATCATACAGAGAGACAGGAAAGCTCTGCACTTTCAAACAAGCTTGACAGGACTCCGTTTGTGTGTCTGCCCCGTTGTACCCTCCCTGAGTAATTTCCTGAACAAGTGCCCTGACAGAAACATTCAGTTTGCTTCCTCTGAAAAAGCTACAGAAAATAAACCTCAAATTACCTATCACAAATGAAAGCCATTTAGAAGAATTGCATTTGCCCAGTTAGGAAACTGCAGCGTACAATCCATTAAGGCTACGGAACATCTGAGCTACGACGGCAGCCAAGAGCTGCCATTCACCATCAGCAAACTCTGAATTCTACAGCACTACAACTGGCATTTGCATCATGGCTTTAAATAGCCTCCACCAAGCAATTCTGAGTGACTTACGAAAATATTTTCACTGCGTTTAAAAATATAATTTTACAATCCATAATACAATAATATGCAAAACAATATACTTCAAGAATTAAAAAAAAATGTAGGCCATCTCACTGTTAAAACTTTTAAGACATTACTCTAGAAGAAAACTACAACTGTAAAACATATAGCAATGCTTATTCTTGCTTTTTTGGTGCACTTATTCTTAGTGTGCCACATCCTAGAGTCGACTAACAGAAAACTCAACTTTCATTAGAAAGTTGGCATTTGTTTACCTTTCTGTGGCAAAATGCAAATTTTGTAACCTTAATAAAACTGTCACACTCAGATTTTTGCACAACTTGATTTAGCAACTGCAAAGGCTTTGGATTGGCAATATTGAAAACAGTACAACTAAAATTACTTATGAAATAATTCACCTCTGTCAGAGCCCATGATGGACCTTGGATATCTTGGCGTTAAAGGGATCTTAATTCGTTCTGTTCTGTACTGCAAGTTACTTGAAGAACCTAATTTTACAACAAGAAAACATTACGGCGACAAAAATAAAAGCAACTACATTGAACAAAAAAAATACATTTATATTCTACTTCTTCATTAAGCATTAAAACGGCCTCCAAATTTACGCGCAAGCCTTGATGACTGCCCTCGTATATACTGTGTATATCATACTTCTAGTAAATTGTCTTGATTACAGAGTCAATATAAACGGAGCACAACACAGCTATACACTATACATGCACTGTTCATTCGTGTATGAAAAATATTTTGAATATTTTTCAATCAAATGAAACCTAACTTGAAGTCTGAGCGAGAATCTCACATCTCTCTTTACTAAGAATCCATGGAACTTTCCAAAAGGCATTTAAAATATTCCGATTGCATCCTGCTTGGATGAACACGTAATTTTTTGACACTGATTACAAACTGTTCTGCCATTTTTTGCTGTGGTTACAAAGCTGCCATGTTCTATTCAAATGCAACTGCCGGTCATCGATGGAACACAGGAACACATACACGCACAAAGAAGTTATTTCATAATTTAAAATTTTAAAAATTCTACAATGTTAAAATGTCGTTGCTACAAAGCATGCATTTGCTTTGGTATTACTAGGACAGGCATAAACAATCTTACACGGCAATCAATCAAACATAGCCGTAACTTCTCTTCCAGCAGTACAATTTACACTAGGCCATTAGTCATCCTTGATTTTTTGTTCTGGGGGCTCTCTCCTTTTCTCTTCTTCTCTCCACCTCACTGAACCTCAAAAATACTCTGGCCGGGTCTCCCATCTTTATAAGGGTAATTTCAAACAGTAACAGGCACGGTAAGGAGAATCACTCGCACACACACAAAGCATTTTAAAGAGACTGTAAAGTATGAATTAAACACAGCTGCTTCCAGGGAACACCTTTCACCATAAAACCACAAAAAATGAAGCAAAGGAACACAGGAAGCCTTCAGGTGTTGCTAACTATGACAATCTCGTAACGCAGGTACTTCAGGAACTTTCCATTTATTCTTTGTCTCCGATATAGGAGTTCCACAAGAAATAAATCAGAAAAGCTGGTTACCAAGTCTCGCACTGGATGGTAATGAATTTGAGCCATGAGATGCTCTTGTACGTGAATTTTCAGAGTAGTCATTGGAGTGTTTATGACTTAGGTCCAAGCTCAGGCGACCTTGATGTTGGGAACTACATCAAAAGAAAGGGAGAACAGGGCAACAGTTAGAACTTGGCAAAGCACCCCCGCAAAGAGCAGACTTGCCAACAAAAGATATTCGTTGTCCCTGAGTTACTGAATAAAATGAATGCTCCTCTCCTTCCCACATCCCAGTTCTCCCATAATTTTATGGATTAAGAGAAGTCAGAAGAAAGATAGCCTAAAAGAAAGATAGCCTGTTTTAGCAAGGAGAGGAAAAAACATAAGAAATTAGTTCATTAAAAAAATGAATTTCTTTGTCAATATGAGCCAGTGGAGCAGAGCGAAACCTAATCCATCAGTTACCGAAAGATATGAAAGCAGCTGGCACATCACTTCTACACAATAATGGTTTGAGAACCCTGGATCAAAATAACACACAACAGCGGGGTGTTTCACTCTGCACTGTATCAAAACAACTACCAGAAGCAATTTCTTCCTAACGAAAATGAAAATTTAAGGAGATCTAAATTTCAAAACACCTGGGATGCAGATGCTGATGGCATATTTGGCTGGCGACTGATGGGCAATTGCTGGTGTGAACTCTATGGCTCCAGGCAGTATAGATTGGGTTTCTCATGACAGCAGTTACTGCAGGGCACGGTGCTAAGCCTCTTGGTACAGTACCTGCTTAAGATGACAAAAACATGTTCTTCCCAACATTATTAGCATATAAACTGCAGATTTAAATATATTTAAATATTAATATAATTATGCATTATAACATTTGCATGTATGAACATGTATCTACAAATAAAAATTATTAGCACACAGAAAAATACATTATTAAGCACCACATGACACCTTTTAAGTAGTACATGCATATTTAAAATCTGGATTATAATTTTGTAATGAGTGCAATAAAGTGGATTAGATTAGCAAAAAATGAAGTAATTCACAGCACATCATTTTATATATGCACTGATAACTAAGACATTTTCTCTGTTTTCAAGTATCAAACTTTTTTATACCGCAACAAAAATTCTGCATTTCTCTCTGAGTACTCATCTGACAGGAATACAACTTTTTTATTTGGTACTTGAACCAACTGCTGGTAAAATGATTCTTGTTCCTCTTCTGTTGCCTCAGACTCACACGTCTAGTGTGTCCTATGACACAGTACTTCAATATTTATTTATTAAGCTATTAGTCAAGCTGTTCTTTTAAGTACACTCATCCTTCAGTACTCAAACAGTTGAAAGCAGCCCTGAGGAAAAGGACTTGGGGGTGCTGGTTAACCAGCAGCTCAACATGACCCTGCAATGTGCGCTGGCAGCCCAGAAGGCCAACTGACCCCTGGGCTGCATCCCCAGCAGCGTGGGCACAGGGCGAGGGAGGGGATTCTGCCCCTCTCTGGTGAGACCCCCCCGGGAGTCCTGCGTCCAGCTCTGGAGCCCTCAGCACAGGACAGACGCTGGGAGGAAAGGCTGGGAGAGCTGGGGCTGCTCAGCCTGAAGAAGGCTCCAGGAAGACCTTAGAGCAGCTGCCAGTACTTAAAGGGGGCTTCTAAGAAAAATGAGGACAGGCTTTTCAGCAGTCTGTTGCAATATGACAAGGGGTAATGGCTTTAAACTGAAAGAGGGTAGATTTAACTAGATATAAGGAAGAAATTCTTTACAATGAGGGTGGTGAGGCACTGGCACAGGTTGCCCAGAGAAGCTGCGGATGCCCCCTCCCTGGAAGGTTGGACAAGGCTCGGACCAACCTGATCTAGTTAGAGGTGTCCCTGCTCATTGCAGGGGGCTTACACTAGATGACCTGTAAAAGTCGCTTCCAGTCCAAACTACTCCATGCTTCAACCAAAGTCTATTTGACCAATTTCCTCTTAAATGAGTTGGTAGCATGGAATACAATAGCAAAAACTTGTTCACATTTCAAGACATACAATCATATCGTCAAACGTAGGTTCGACTTGATTGTGTTATTATACAAAGGTATCATTATAAGATAAAGCTTTTAGTTGGAAATAATACCTTTTAATACATTTTCTACTCTCATTAAGAGAGAAAGAAAACAGCAAAAGAAATCAAAGAAGAGCAAAAGCTTCTTTGATCTGAGCTACTCTAGGGCATGTCTTGACATTCTGAAAATTGATTGGAATAACAGGGTGTGAAGCTGTCCATTGTTCCAGATACACAAGTCATTACCTCCTTCACAGTCTGCAGTAAGAAGAAAGTCTTCCATAATTTCTACGACACGCAGGAGTTTGGGGCTTTCCAGAGAATTGAGGGTAAATTCATAAAAATCATTATTGTCTTGATTTGAAAAATCAAGTTTTGTATGCAACTGCTGAAGGTAGCTACGCTAAAGACTGAACAATCCATCTGGCAACAAATTTACCAGGTCTAAGCAAATGCTTCTGACCAGTTCAAAGCAACTAGTGTGTGATACCCTAACGAGCTCCTGAAGCATTCCATTTAGTTTGTGCCATTTTAAAACCTACTAACACGAACCTCAGCACCAACAATTGTTCCATCAACTGGGACAGCATGCTAACTGTTTTCTGTTCTACCTGATTGCATCAATTTCTGTGAAAGCTGCTTGTGAGCCCCCTCTTCAGCAGCTTAGTATTTCAAACACACTGGCATGTAATCTTTAGATTAAGATCACAACCAGTTTGGGCACTCAACTTGAGATACTCCAAACATTTGACTTCCAATAGGCAGAACTTACATGTTGTATTTTCTGAATATCAGATCGTTTTCCTTGGCAGTATTTCAGCAGTTAAGTGTCTAAAGCTTGGGATCCCTCCACCTAGTGTTTGCTTTCAAACATATTGGAAATATTACTTGTCTCCCTAATGGATAGGCTACACCTTGTTCACCACTAATGCATTCAAAACTCCTCTGCACAGAAACCGATGCAACACAAATCCTTCAGCCAGGAGTTGCCCAGTTTCCTTAGCGGTTCTTAAACAGGTTTCACTTCTTTCCAGTCCAAAAGCTGAACAGACCATGGAAACATGTTGTGTGTCGTGTTTGTTCTGCACTTATCATGACTAATCCCCAATATTGTCCAATATGGACAAATTCCTTGAGGCATTCCTAAGAAAGTAACCACGAGTTCTGTCGCCCACCTGCTGACATGCTGCCCGTGTATAAGGCAGCAGACACAAAGCCATCGCTGTGCCTAGCAGACCGCTTGGGTGAATACGGTGCCCAGTCCTGCAGCTCTGGAGACAGATGCTCCTCACTAGCTGGAGCATACTTCTGCACCTACAAACACACAGAAATTTGATTATAGGAAGTTGGAGATTCAGAAGAAAAAAATAAAATAGCCAGAGTTTGTAGGCAGTAAGCAACTTCAGTCTTTCTAGTATCTAGTCCAGAACGTGCTCGGCACCACAGTGCTTGTTACACCTTTGTCTTTCAATGACGCTACTCACTTCTGCCCCTTCCTTCCTCCATCCTGCTCCGTTCTTCCTTTTTATTATTTTGTAATCTTTTTAGGCCAGTGTTTGCAACTTAACTGGTATATTTCCCTTCACAATAAAGCACCCAGCACTTAGTTACACTTCTTCTTTAACATACTGCTTTCACAGGACATTTCAACCGTTCTTTCAGCCGCTATTGCAAGTATTTCCTAAAGAAGACCTGGCTAACAAGCCAGAAAGGGTTTTCCTCTAAGCTCGTATTTTCAGACATGTGTGGAACAACCTCTTCAACAGAGCTACTCAAGTCTTGGAACCATCATAACTTCTGTTCTGTACATAATGAGTAGACACTGGTGAGTAAAGAAACCTGAGAATAGCTCAGATGCTGACAGTGATGCTAGTGAGCTACAAGTGCAGGGTTCAGCATGCAAAGGTCACACACTTCAAATGTACAACACAGCACATGAGTTTGAAGTATGTAATAAGCAAAAAATAATTACTGAAAAGGTAGTCACAGTTTTTATGACTGCAGTATTTTAATTGAATGAAGAGTTACTGAGAGCACAAAGACTACAAAATGCAGAGGTACCTTCTTAGAACAAATACTTGATCACTACCACAGGTGTATTAGTAATTATACCATCTGCTACCCAGGGATGAAAGTTCTCCTAAAATTATTAACTTCTCAAAGTACACAAACTTAATTGAGTATATACACAACTAAGGGAATTGATACCACCCAATATGGCTATAAATTCTACTACATTGCATGTTCTAGACACATATTTTTGGTATTACCAGCACTTCAGCAATGAATACAGGGAGACTGGATACTACTGTCACACAACCTAACGTAGGTGTAGTACACAAAGACCATTGCACGAGAGAGAAATATTCAGAGTGAATGGTGTCCACTTTTTGAGGCACAACATCACTTTTGCTCTCTAGTCAACAACTTCTGAGTTAGAAAGCTCCTCTTGTTTTCTGGAAGGATGGGGGAAAAATTAAGGGAAGGGGGAAAAAAAATCAGAGAACCTAGTCCTAATTTAACCCTAGAAACATAAATCAACTAATACATCAAGTAACCTTAAAAACCAAAAATTATGACTTTATAATTCTATTATGCAATTTTCTTCACCTCGAACCAACACCTATCTGATTTCTGCACTATCACTTGGATAGTATGTAAAACCAACTGTAATATGTTTTTCAATCCTTTCTGGTCTTTTTAATAGTGAGTGCCAAAAGCACTCCCTCTGTTCCAGCTAAAAAATTCCTTACACATAAGCCCTCACCTACATGTGTCCTCATCACAGTTGGAAACTTACTATAATACTACTACTACAGTCATAACCAGGACAACACATATGCTCATGGCAATGCACTATAACGAAGCATGGGATTATCAGCGCTAAAGGATCAACTTGATATTCTATGTAAAGCAAACACCCTGTATTCAAATATGTTCAATAGCTCATCTTGTTTTCTTATCATCTATGTGCCAAATGATGACATTATTATACGCCTGCCTTCACTTCTTGCAGCGCAATTCCTGATGAATTCCTTTCTCTGAGCCATACTGCTCCTCTTCAGGCCTGTTCAGAATAGATCTGTAGATTTCAGCCACAAAATTAAACTCTCAGGCTTTTCCATCACTGATAATGCAGAATTTGCTGGACACTTTCATCAATAAAAGGCTTAAAGCTCTCCATAACTATCTTTCCCTCAAAATGTTAGGGAATGTAGAAGGAGTACAATGGAAGCAGCCAAAAAAACACAAACAAAATTGCCCATTGTTCTCCTATACCAGCATTTTTGCAGAATGTGGCTCCAAACATTGCACTACTTCCAATTCAGCTTTGCTTCTAAAACTCCATGAAAAGGGTGGGATTATCCAGGTATAATCAGTTAGAGGCAAAGAATACGCTATTCTAAGTCATTATGATGTGATTATATACATGCAAAAATAACATTTTTGAAACTTCTGATTTCAACTGGGGAAGAAAAAAAAAATCTGTATCTGCCACCTGAACAAATCTGAGGCAGTAGACCTGAAACCACATTATTGATTATTTAATCAATAATGTGGTTTATCACTTTATCTAATGCAGTCTTCTAAACATGGTCGTCTTCCTAGACCACATAAAATTTCTCTTCCACCTACTCTGGTAAGGCATGACCTAATCTCCACAGCGGGGTTGTTTATTCCAGCAAATGATATTCTCATTCTGAACTGTATTATTAAACCACATTCTCGTAAACAGTCTGTCTTTACAGTGTAATATATCTAACGCCCTATGAATTTCAGATTAGATTCACAAAATTATTTGAGACGCATAGAAAGACTTACAAAAAAAATAACACTGTGGATGGTATATCCTTCTCCATTAGTTTGTACAGTAAGCTGGGCAACCAATCTCATTTTTCTAAAACTTAGGAGGCTCCATTTTCAGCTTTTCTAAAACTGCCTCTTTGCATTTTTATTTATTTTAGGGGTTGGGGGTTTTTTCAGGTTGTCAAAAGCATACAGGAAAGAGCTCTGATCTTCCATCAAGCAGCATTACAACCTGAGACGTAGCTACTAAGCAGAACCCTATTGTTCTGTTTGGTGGCCACCACTGCCTGCTAAAAACTGCAACCCCATCAACTGGTTTTGTATTCTGTGATACTGCAAAGTGCCAGTGGAGTCTGGGGTGGTTTCCCAGGGAACCTGGATTTTGAGAACAGGCCATGCTTCTCTTGTTATGGTACATAACTGGGCACCCAAACCGACAGTAAAAATATAATTCAAGGTTTCTGGTTTTATGCTTCAATATAGCAAGCTTCTACCTGTAGCGCAGGATTAGGAATGGGCATAGGGGTCATTTTATGCCTCAGAGCAGGAGCTGATTTTGGTCTTGGTCTTTTAATCTCTGGCTCTTCAACTCTTTGAAAGCCAATGTCGTCTTCACAGGATTTCCTTGATGAGAGATGAGTGCAGTCAATTCCCTCCTCCCGATAATAATGCCCAGCGTTCCTGCCGCGACCCTTGAGAGTAGCAGAGTCCTGTTTAAGTGCCAAGGAAGCTGGAGCCTGAGCAGCGGCTGGGCTGGTCGGTGGCGATCCAGTCGTTACTGTAGACTCTGATGCAGAGCTTACCTGCTGTTTGTGCTTAAATTTGATAGAGTCACTTCTCTTAGGAGGAGTTGGAGGAGTTGAAGCCACTTCAGCTTTTGATGGCTGAGGTGAATGGCCTGTCACTTGATTAGGGGAAAGGTACTCCACTTTGGGAGGAGTTGGTGGTCTTTTGAAAGTATCAGGGTCAAAGATAGATTTCCTTTGTTTTGGCTTTTTGTACACAGAGAACTTTTCTGTTTCTGCTGCCGAGACATTAACCACGACTTTTGGCCAGGTACCACCACTATGCTTAGTTCCATGTCCTTTATCAAACGCAGTCTCGACCATCACACAGTCAGCACCTGTAGGTTCATAAGGCAACCTCCTATTGTCCAAATCAACAGTTCCATAGCCTCGGTCCCCGTAGCTCTCTGGGCTGAAGGAGCTGAGACTGTGTTCTGAATTACTGTGGCAACTGTGCACTGTGTTCCTATGAGAGTCTACTCGTAATGTGTTATTAGGGAAAGGTTGATGATCGCAAAATGAACCACTGCCCTGATCACTCTGGTCCTTCTTGCCATCCATGATGTCTGGATTGAAAATGTCAGTCTGCGTTGAGCTGTTGAGTTTCAGATTTCTTTTATTTTGGGCTTGTATCTCCGATGCGTGAACCCTACAATTTGATATTTTTTCTGAATCCTTCAGATTTTCAAATATATTTTGACCACTCCAAGATGAACTCTGAGGAAAAACCTAAAACAAAAACCACATGTGATGAACTCCTGATTATGGCTGACTTCTGTTTAGTACGAGGCATATTCTAGCCTCCTTGATTTACCTTTACCTAAATATATACACCAAGACATAGATACAGTTGGGAAAGGTTTAATAAAACCTTACAGATTCAAAGCACAGAACATCAGATATAATAAAGCTCGAAATTTTTTGAAACACACTTTCAGAACAATTCCAGAAGTGCAACTCCACATGGTGGCAGAAGCACTCAGCTGACAGCACAGGGACCTGCATTCTGCTTCTGTCTCTCTTAAGTGATGCTAATAAGTCATCCTTCATTGCCCGTTTCCCCTCAAACATTTCATCTTTCTAGTTTCTTAATACCTCAAGCTCTTTGGAGCTGGAATTATCACTCCCAAAGTCTGTGTGACAGGCTCAGTATAATGGGATTCTAAACTCAATAAGCAAAACAGAGTAATATTTTTATATCAATGAGCCTGAAAAAGAAAGCCTTGTACTTAATCCTCACGATAGCCAGAGCTCAGTTTTCTGCACAACTCCCTCCTGACTAAAAGCAAACCCTTCTGTAGTCAGGAGGCAGTTTATCTTTCATGTACCAAATTGCTGCAGCTCTGAAGCAGAAACCAAGAAGAAAGAAGCAATTGTGCTAGGAGTCATTTCACGTGACCAGCAAACAAATGGGAAAGTAGTAGGAGCAATGAATAAGTTTCATTTCCTACCAGATGCCACAATAGCCTTACTTTGGAAATAACTGTGGAGTGAGTGTACGACCAGTGACATGCATCCAGATGGCTTTATTTTAGCAGAGACTTTCCCATGATGATATATTCATTTTTTCATATACTCTTCCCCAACGAACTAAAACAATTCTGCATTAAGTCCAAGAAAATTTTGCAAATTTAGCTGCTTCTACTCACCTTCATCAGTGACAGGGTGAGGGAATCCCTGCAGTTCCGTAGCAAAGCTTCACACTCAGTAAGCGACTTGTTATCTAGTGCAATGCCATTGATCTACACCCGAAAAAACCACAACAGACATCCGTAAATCAAGGGGGTGGGGAGCATCTTAAGGTACCACCTCTGAGGCAAGGAAAACACTAGTTTTATAAGTATACACGACTGAATTCTGGTTGACCTTGTCCTGCCTTTCCCCATTCTCTGCTAAAACAACCAACCCTCCTAACTACAATTTTCCTCCTCCTCCTCCTAGAGATACAGCATAACTACACTGGTTTCACCACATTAGCCTCTACCTATTCGTACATCGACACCAACCCCTTTCAGCTCCACAGTAATTAATACATCAGGCAGGTCGTTCAAGGCTGCAAATGCACACAGGGAAAAATTTTACCTCCCCAGAAGGATGACAGCTGTGACACCATAATTTAAATGATAAGAAATGTTGCATCCAGCCAAGGGATGTCTTTTTGGAACTGACCTTTCCTATCCAGTATAAAATCCACAAGTATCATTACATACAAGCCAAGTGTGAAGAGTAAGTCTGTGACTCTATCAAAAATTCCCATATGAACTAATCATAGCAAATAACCTGCACATTATATTAATCACTCAGCCTACAAACACATTAATTTACAATACATATTTTCTGAATATACAAAAATGGTGTAACAGAACGTAAGTAAAAAATTAATTGGAAAATTTGGGATCTTAAAGAGTAGTATCAATGATAAGACTCTAAAAAAAATTAAAAATTAAAAAAAGGAGAATGCATTCTTAAGACTTACAGCAATTATTCTATCTCCCACAGTAAGGGAACCCTCTTTGGCAGCTGGGCTTCCGGGCACAACAGCAGCAACAAATATTCCATTTTCTAGGCTGACCCCACTATCTGAAACACACACACCAAAAAAGAATTTACTCCTGCAATTCAAATACGTTGCTCAAACAGCATGTCTGACCTGCCTGCACAAGAAAGAAATGTAACTACCAAGCCAATTTAATTTCAATTTCTGAAAACCCCGATAAAGAAATAAGAATGCAATGAGGGAAAAGAGGGATTTTGGATATCCCACAATTTAAACATAATCATACAAAGGTGGAGTGACTGATGGGTTTAGGAGTCTTGTTTAGACTCCCAGTAACAGTCCAGACAGGCAGCTAATTAGAACTAAAAAAAAAAAAAAAAATCCAAACCAAAACCCACCCAAGAACAAAAAAGAAAGCCTGTACTTGCAGAATAAAGCTATCATCAATATGAGCTAAAGCAATTCATTAAAATCCCTATCTAGGAGGTAGCAACAGTTTAAGCGGGATTTAAGCAGAGGCTCAGAAGATGTACCTTCACATCAAGCCATTTTTGGCTGACCAAACACGCACCATTTACACACAGCCTTTATAGCCATTACCTTTATGTCCGGAAACATTGATGTGAAGAGGAGTTATCACTCGCCCACCTAAGGACTTCCTTCTTCGAACCACCATGTTAATAACACCTCCTCCATTTAGAACAGCTTTTATAACTTGCTTTTTATCCTTATTAGTAAGATCCACATCATTTATCTTTAGCAACCAATCATTCACTCTGGCAGATGAACAGAAATAAGCAGGTCAGAGTTACAAGCATGCTTTGCTAGACGTAACACATGAATAACATCCATGAAAAGGGATGCAACAGACCTGATCTCAATATGCTAATCCTTATCTCAATATGCTAATCCTTAATTATCTGGAGTTCTCCATTCCTGAAAAGGCATTAAATAGCAGCTAAATGAAAACCAGGACTTCCAGTCTACACTTCACTAGCAAAAGTATATCCTCTAATCACTAATAACTACTCCTTTACTTTAAAAGCAGCTCTTTGGACAAAGGAGAGTTATTAAAAGCCTCCTGTCAACACTACGAACAGGAGCAGGTTTCAAACTATCTCTTGTTCTATTCTCCTTTCCCCCACCCTTCCCCAGTAGCTCACCCTCATGTCTTTCCTAAAATTTAAATTAATAGAGCAAAGGTTGAGGAGATAATAAACGGATTAGGTAAGACACAGGGAAACAAGAGAACATTTCAAATCCTGGTGAGTTTTAAGGAATGGGTCAAACAGTGGTTAATTTCTGTAATGCTTTTTAGGCATTAGTGGTCTCAGCATGATTTCCCAACCAACGTTAATAATACACACATGACCAATGACAAAAGAACTTTAAAAAACGGGAAAAACTGAAGACAATTTATAATGCACTCCTATTTTGTTTATTATGATCAACAAAAGACAAGTATCTCCCAAAGTCAAACCCTACCTTAATCGACCATCAGCAATACTTCCTTTGTCTACTTTGGTAACGAAGATGCCACAGTCTCCAGGGAGGTATGGTTCATTCACGCCTTCTGCCACATCAAAACCAAGTGCTTTCAAGTCCATATCATCCTAATAAATATTATTCACAAGTGACTTATCTGCACTGGCAGCCATTGTGCCACTGTCTGCTAGCAAGAGGCACATGTTTGTGCCGTGCACTTCCATCTACAGGGCACCTGTTCCAGACAACTTTTTATATTTTGTACTGCAACGTATAAGCTCCCAATTCCATTAGTTACTAGGCATCCTCTGGCATTAGAACAATCCTTCTCTCTGACATTAAGGCTAAAATAACGTGGGAGGGAAGATTCCCCAAAGAGAAATAAGAAAACAGAAGAGCATTCGAGAAAGCACATTCAGACATGTATAACCTGTTTTAAGGTACGATGCTGGACGTGTAATGAGAGAACAAGGACATATTCCTCATAAATGGGCACTACTTGAGGAAAAAAACAACTGTAAAGGTAAGGAAACAGCCTTGTGCCTTAGTGATGAACTCAGCAAGACGTCCGCTTTGGTCTGGCTAGAGACCAGAAGTAAACATGAAAGAAAGATTTAACACTATGGGGCACCCTGTCTAAATACAGATTAGAGGTGATATTCTAGCAACCCAGGCCCAAAACAGATCATTCTCAATGTGAAGAGTTATAAAAATTAGAGAACTCTACTTGAAATCAACTGGACCAGCCATCTCAGCATACTGAAGGGAGATGATACTCGAAATTCAAAATCTGACATGCAAAAATTAAATAGAACTTAAATCAGACATGTAAGGCATGGTTCTAGACATGGCTGGATGACTAATCCCCTTCAAAATCATAATCATAGAATGCTTTGGGTTGGAAGGACCTTTAGAGGTCATCTAGCCGAAGAGCATAAAGTCTTCAGGGAGGGCAAAAGACGCCTGACAAAAGCTGAAGACAAAACATGCAAAAATATGAATGTTTACCAGAAACTAAATTGAGCTAATCCTGCCAAAAAAATACTAAAATCCTTATGATTCTTCCAAATGTTCCACATAAGAGAAAAGTTCACAGGGAAGAGCATGGGACTGCCATAAATAAAGACTGAGTAGAGATCACAGTGTCATTGCACAGCCTCAGAGCTGAAAAGTGAGTAATATTTCTCTCAGTTCTGAGCTGAGTGATTATGTAGAACACAAGCTTAAGCAGACAGGTGAAGCTGAAGCAAAAATAAAAGGATTTAAATTTATTCAATTCTATAATCTCCACCCTGGAATTCAAACAAGAATTATCCCATATACCTAATCAAGGTTACTATAATTTGATAGCAGCAAGTGTAATCTTTATGTTTAGGAAAGAAAAACATATATTCAGACAACAAAATGTACACATTTGATCTCAGTAATGCAAACATTTAGAACATCTTTGAAGTAAAGAATAACTAAATAACTGCACATGAATGGAGAATACATCAGGCTGCCATGTTGTTTACCACAGGTACAGCATGTGCTAGACACGCTAACTAATTTTCCAGACAATGGAAAAGCAAAATTATTAGCTATCAGTTAAAATTGAGAAGATGGCAATGCACAAAATCCAGTGATGAAGGAGCTGGTTAAAAGAGATGAAAATACATGGTGAAAGTGGAATCCTTATCCCAGAAAGAATTTACAGTCTGTGTTCCTGATGGATCAGCATTGGTACTCGGTCTTTTTGATTTATATATTTCAACATATAATAATATTCTATAATATTTTTAGTATCAAAAAAGGAATGTCTTAGTGATTGTTGGGATGCACTGTCAGAACACAGACAGATTGCAAGTGCAAAGAAAAAAGATGACCCCGAATATTGCGGTAAAATAAAAGAGATTTAATTTGACAGCATTAAATCACAAACTTTGTTATTCAGGAACAAGAAACAAATTCTGATATATGCAGAAACTGTTATAAATGAAACACAATCTGGAAGACCACCTGTGTGTTCTATGTGGTGGAAAAAAACACTATTAGCAAACTATGTGATGTGCCAGCCAAAAAATTTCAAATAGAACAGTATACAAGACTTGCATAAAAAGCAGTGAAATAAAACTTTTAGATTACAATGAAGAAAAATAAAATGAAGTACTACTAGGATAATTAAAAGATGTAGAGATTATCTAAAAAGCTAAACCTAAGAACTTTCTTTAATATGCCAAAATAGAAAAGGGATTTAACTCCCTCTACAGACAAGCAAGAGAGATTAGCATCTCCTTTCATCCCAAATTTTTAAGATGGAGGCCCTAAAATATATGTTCATCATGAATAAATTCTTCTAATACTTTGAAATTTCTAACCATCGAATCTGAGCAAAAGTAGAAGTAACTTAATGTAAAAGCTTAAGTATTTTATATTATGGATAGATTATAAGTGCTGCTGCCTGTAAAAGCAGAGGACTGGGTGCTCTGACATCAGTGTTTCCACCACATCTTAAGTTTCGGCTGCCTTAGCACTGCCATTTCTACAATGAATCCCTAACTTTAAGAACACTAAAGGTTTAACTTCAGATATGCTTTATAGTACATTGACCTGGGTACCCTGCAAGATCAGACGGAGGAACTATTTTTAGTTATAATTCATATGAAGAAAAATACCAAGCTTGTGTATAACAGGTTTGCTTTGTCAACTACTTTCACCTAGTTGTTACCGCACTTGCTGCTCATACATTTGTGTGTGATTCCTAGCACAACAACAATAACGAACTAAAAAAAACACAGATCAGAGTTATTTTTAATCATACCTAGTATCAAAATGTTATAATCGATTTCTAGGCTATCCAATATCTAAGCCAATATATTATATTCAATATATAACTTTTTACTTACTCTGTCTTTTTCAAATTCTACAACTTCTGTTTCCCACTCCAGAGAGTCTGTGTCTATGGCTGAGTCGTGGGAACTATGGGCCATCAATTGACGGAATCTGGCCTCCTTTTCCAACTGATTCTCCATCTTCTCCCTAACCAAAGAAAATGACTGTTTACAGCACAGACAACCCTTTTAAAGAAACTGATACATAACATTATCATTGTGAGACATGCTACACTGCTTCCTAAATCAAAAATCCAAGCTGTGCTAAAAATTTGCCCCATGCTTCCATTTTTCCAATATTCTTGGGCTGCTATTGAATTGACTTTCCTTTTCTATGTGTTATCCTAACATAGACTTACATTTTTTGCATTATTTTTACATGATCCAAGTGCACAGCTAGGTTTCTAATATCTTCCAAAATGCATTTAATTTACCCTCCGACGAGCTGCATCAGTAAGCCCAGGACAAGTGAGGCTTGATAAATACCGACAGCAAAACCTCTTCCACAACGCATTGAGATGACACATGACGCACATCTTCCTTGCATTCATAAGCCAGTGAGAATACAGCTAGGAGGAACTAAATTGCTGTTAAACTGACTTCAGTGAAAGAATCCCATATTGCTTAGGTGTATCTCCACAGCACAAAGCTTAGAATATGAGTAGCATTAATAAAATAAAAAGGTTAAGATAGTAAGACTTAGGATCCTGCCCATCACGATCATTTCCATGATAACTAAAAACACAGGCAGCATTTTCACGTACAATATCACGACTAGCTGCTGCCCACAGCTGTAACCGTTCACTCACAAACACAGCTAACAGACCAAAGTTTCTATCACAAACTCCCATGCAGTTTGAGCATTTCTCTAACATACTTCAGTTCCTTCAGTTCACGCACAGCATCATTTTTCTGCTTTCTCATGTCATCCAGATTGCGAAGGGCTTCAGCCAAGTCACTCACAGCCCGGTCTCTCTCCCTCCTTAAGTTGTCACACAAAGTCCTTCGAAAGGAAAGAAGTTTCAATTTAGTTACTTAAAACCCTATCTAAGTAACAAACTAATTTTACCACACTGTATAGTTAACGCAAAATTTTAAAAAGCAGTTTCAAAAGAGTGCTCTCAAAAAAAAAAAAGTATAAGGAAGAAAAAAATGACATATGCTAGGTCTTAAGGAAAAGCTTGTCAAGGTAACAGAAACTTTCTTCATCCCCTTCAAAACTTTATTTCTACTTATCTTCTCTAAACCAGCAGAAAAAAATTCTGATTAAAGTATTTTCCCTTACTTCCTTACATACGTTTAGTAGCAAATATGTTGGGTACTTTTTGTGAAATGTCCCCACAGGTAAGGAATTACTTGCAGGACTATAGCTATAGAAGGGCTAGGTATATCACGCCTAAAAGAACGCATAATTTCTGTTCTTACGTAGCAGTGCTGTTAGGCTCTGTGATATTTACTAGAGACTATCATAGGTGTGAAAGCACAGACAAAGCAAAGCGGTGCCTCCACCCTGTCACGACAGTGATTTGTTCTATTTTTCAAGGGTGTATAGTGATAGGACAAGGGGGAATGGCTATAAACTAAAAGAGGGCAGATTTAGATTAGATATTAGGAAGAAATTCTTCACCATGAGGGTGGTGAAACAGTGGCCCAGGTTGCCCAGAGAAGCTGTGGCTGCCCCCTCCCTGGCAGTGTTCAAGGTCAGGCTGGATGGAGCTCTGAGCAACCTGGTCTGGTGGAAGATGTCCCTGCTCATGGCAGGGGGCTTGGAACCAGATGATCTTTAAGGTCCCGTCCAACCCTTACCATTCTCTGATTCTATCTTAAAAGGGGCCCTCAACTTAAAGGGAAAAAAAAAAAAAAAAAAAAAAAATCACCCTGTGACAGCTAATGCAGAAGTTCCAACAAGCTGAAGAAAGTGCTAGCAAAACCCAGCAAGTCCTAGAATTGCATCAATTGCACACAAGGTGTTACAAAACTCACTCGTGTACTATCTAGCATTTGTTTACCGTATACTTTCCCTCTCTGCAACAATCTTATCCCGCTCTTGAAAGGCCCAGTCTCTCCTGCACTTGGCTACTTCTGCTTCCTGGACAGCTTCCTTGAGTTCTTGGGACATTGCCTCATACTGTTTCCGAAGCATTTCAATTTCTTTGTTTGCTCTTTCTATGTCTAGGGTAGCAGAATCTTGTATCTAGGAATTCAGAAACATAAACAAGTATTTTAGGCATAGTTTCTAGGTTAGTATGCACAAACAGCTTGTATTATATGTGTTACCTCATGTGTTCAATTCTCACGTTTTAATGAAAGTGTTCATTTATCTTAAAGGCTACTTGGGCTTGGGGGGGGGGGGGGGGTAAAATTTGTAGTAATATA